GAAGATGACGAATCCTCCGTGCCTGCCTCTGCCGACTCAGATCGTGGGCGCTTTTTCTCATCTCGATTGGTAGAAGGTGAAGAATCAGACGACGCAGACGACTGATCGTGCGACGACGAGGAACTAGACGACGAAGTAATGTGCTTTATTTTTCGGCTTTTTGTTCTGTCTTCATCCTTCATAGAAGAGTGCTTCAAGCTCTCTCCAGTTGCCGCTTTGTCCACGGATGATGAGGCTTTCGAGCCGCCGTCGCTGCTTTGGGTGTGATCAGATTTCTCACTCTTGGTGAGCTCGTCGTGGTCATCCGTGTTCTCCTTCCTCTCCTTGTCATCCGTTTTAGTAGCTGGCATAGTACCTGCTCTAGCTCCTTCCACCTGATATGACCCTGAGCCTCGCACGAGATGAAAATGCAAGTCGTGAGTGTCCGCGAACTCTATATCGCTCGCGCATGACGAAACGTCTGACGACGAGCCTGAGTAGAGGTCTGCTGAATGAAGTTTGCCATCCAAGCGCATGTCCTTAGTTGCCTCTCTCCGGGTTCGTCTCGTTTGCTTCTGCTCGTCAAGTTTTTCCGCATTACGCACTTCTTCACGGAGAAATAGGGGCCAAAGGACGGGATTCTTGTGAAAACTTGAGCGCTCGCTTTTGTCATTCGTCTCCTGTCCGATCCGAATCAAGCTTGCCGGATCTAAAACTGTCACTATGACCAAATTCAAGCACGGGAGCCACGACACATGCGGATACAGCTTCTCACTTTGCATGTAGCGTGGTAAAAATGCACGAATGACCCAATGACGCCAAATCTGTAAGGCTCGGGACGTATAGTTCTCCACTAGCAAAGGGAGCGATGGCGACGTATTGCTTGTTGTGCTTTGAGTCTTTGCCTGCCCGTGTATTGCCCCGGTTTCATCAGGCGTTTTTACGACATCAGCAACGGTAGTTTTCCCTTTACTATCTCCTCGCGCCCGTGGCGCTTGGAGGCCATGTGGAGCATTGTTCTTGCGGTCGTGGTCCCCAAGTTCTGATTGCACACGTGTTGTCCAGCCAACAAAATGCTCTTGCACAGCTTTCTTGACCTTCATGTGAGCAGAGAGGTTCACGCCTTGAGGAGCAGAGAGCTCTGTGCCTTGGGGTATTTCGGAGTGTGGCTGAGTTTCTTTGGCTTCATCTGCAGTTCTATTTTCACCAACGTCATCTTCACAAGATTCGACTTCGTCTCCCGACTGCACGCCACGGGTCTGTCTCAGGTCCCACGATTGCGCGGCTCGCACAATCTGTGTAAAAAAGTCAAATGCCAAAATCACCAAGATGGGACAAGGACCAGAGCCCCCACGGTGTTTGGTACCTTCAACAGGACCTTGTTCACATTCGAGTAAGCGGGAAATACAGTCCAGGACTCGTGAGAAAATGCGGAAATACCGCTCAATCAGGACGCGGTCAACAAGCGACTTATTATCTCCAGCATCTTCATTCTCGTTCTCTTGATCGAGTCCTGCAAGCCTCTGGAATTCTGAGAGCAGATCCATTATCGTCAGACAGTCTCGTGCTCGACTTCTGCTTGGACTTTTGCGCGTTCGGAGGGGAAGGTCGACGAGAACTCTAATCATCTCGGATAGCAAAGATTCAAGGGCTACCAGCCTACTTCCGGGAGTTGCAGTCTTAAGTGAAGCTTGTTTCGCTTGCGAAAAAAACTGCAAGAGTTCGCTCTCTGCATGACGGATTTGAAACGCGGAGTCTCTTCGAAGGAATCCAGCGGTCGATGCATACGCAGAGTCTCGGAACTCATCGGATGTGAAGCGAGAAAAGTCACAAAATCGATCATCGCCACGATAGCGCAACACATCATGCAAAAGCGCACACACGGGACAGACGTAGTGGGCTGGCGGTTTTTGTTTATCGGAAGCAGAGAGAGATATAGGGATCACCTTCGACGAGGAAGCTGAGGTCCGTCCTGCATCCTGGTGAGCTTCATTTATTCCAGATCCATCATCTTCATCTCCTTCTGCGGAGAAATAGAAAGCGAATGGGTTACTGCTACCAATCTCCCCTTTCATATCGTCTTCATCTTCTCCCTGGTACAAGCCAATTGGGGCTTCCGTCCTCCACTCCACAACAGCAGGTCGGTCGAGAACCATATCGAAACGATCATCACGACTTCGTCCTCGTCCTCCACCTCCTGCCCAAAAATCTGCGTCAGAGTCTTCAGAGTTGGACTCCTCGTTTCCCACTTCTAGCGCACTGTCAATATCTAGAATTCGAAGTTCAGCCCGCAATTCGTCACGAAAGTCCTTTACTCTTGTCGAGCGCACGCTGGGCTCCTTTGGATGGGGTTGACTGTCGCTGGCATCGATTGTCCCGCGTTGGTCTACATTAGAATCAGGTGGCTCTTCGACTCGAGGCTTCATCAAACCTAACCTCTTCGGAATCTTTCTTCTTCCTTTCCTTCCCGTCCTACGCTTTGGCGACGACGATTTCATCAGGTTAGGGGCCGAGTGAGGACCGGCAATAGTACCGGAGGATGAAGATGTCCAATCCGTATCCTTATCGTCCGATGAAGAAGACGATTTCCCAACCTCAGTACCACGTCGAGCAGCATGATGAGCACCATGACGAGCAGACTCACGTCCTCCACGCGAGATAAATTGGTCTTTGTGGCTCCTTGATCCATCACGATGTTGCATTGAAGAATGGGCGCCATCCCATGAGGACAAAGCGTCTCTCCTTCGATCCGATGGGGAGGATGCCAAAGGCTCAGCAGCATTCGGCATATCTCCATCTCCAGTGCTCCGTCGCTTTTTCATCGGCGAGACCATTCTCTTCAGGTCAAACTTTTTACCAGGCACCATGCCGTCAATTGCGACGTTGCTGTCGGGTGAACTTCTCTGAGGGCTTACTATGGCTTCATGTCGATGATCGTCTTTGAAAGCTTCGCCCTTGTGGTGCTTTCGTTTGGCTTCGTCTTCGCGATAGAACGCGCACGCTGCAAATTTTCCAGACAGTGCCAGTTTTCTCGCCTGCATGCGCAACGGACTACTGACCGCATCATCTGCAGCTGTGCGCCCGCCGAGCAGCAGACTTTCACGGTAAGATCGACCGTCCATCTTAGGATCCAAAAATCGTTGCGTTCCTTCTTTTAACTTCGCGACAAAACGTGGGTCTTTCGAATCAAGACAATCATCTTCGAATCTTCTAGCTGAAGGTGACGCCGAAGTAGCTAAATGTTTTCCCTTCTTCACCTCCTCCTTTGCCTGTGCACCAAGGCGGTGCAGCTTGTTCATGAGACTCCCTGGTCTTTTGAAAAAGGCACCTCCCCGTTCAGGCAGTTTTGGCCGTCCACGAGTATCTTCACTTTCAGATGACTCCTCTTCTTCATCAAGTGAAGCCTCCTCTTCCTCTCGCTCCTGACGACGAAAAGAGGATGAAGAGGGATTTTCCTCCAACTCATTCGCCTCGTCAAGTTTTATTGAGCGTTCGGCGCATTCCTGCCTCAGAATATCGTCCACTGTTTTTTTCGCCATAGCACTAGATGCATATAGTTGCTGACTTGCGGTCGTGGCGCCAGCCGCTTTTTCATTTTCTTTTGACTCACTGGGCAGTGGAAAGAGATCCCCAGTTCCGCGGTCCTGAAGCAGCGCGAAGTTTTCCTGGAAGCTTCCATTTTCACTTGTGTTTCCGCTATTCTTCATGCCGAGGCGATTAGTCCGCATCGACGTTCCATCGTTTTGCTCCTTCTGCGGGGAGCAAGCGTTCGCCATTGCTGTTCTAGAGAGTGTTGTAAGCTTTCCCAAGATGTTACGCAAGCACATCTTTTCGGCTTCTAGTCTTCGTGACTCCGAAACCAGCCTTGCAGCGAGCGACGGGTCAAATGCGGTGGCTTCTTCATAATCACTGAATTTTCTCGCTTTCTCGTGCTGATCGTGACCCATAGCGTGTCGTAAAAAGGAGTGACTGAGTGCTCTACTCCTATGCCCTGCTTGCGAGGGCGAGCTAGACGGCCGTGATCCGCTGTCTTCCTCTTCTTGCTTCCCCAGGTGATTCTGATTACCGTTGCAGCTCTCGTTCTTGGTCCTTAAATGACTCGAATGCGGTTGACACAGACTAGCGATCTGCCGGTCAAGCAAGGTATTACTCCGATAGCAATGCCCTCTTTCGCGTTTCTCTCGACCAGCCGCTGGGCTCTCACGCTCAACAGTGTGGTCAAGGGCCGTCCTGGTTTTGATACCATGTGGCCCGAAAAGCTTTCCCGTTCTTCTATCTCGATCATGTCGTGGCCCTGGTCGCGCTCGCAGTCGCGCATTTTTTCCAACGTTCGCTTGATTGAGCAGTCGTTGCGTTGCATCGACGTCACGGCTCGGAAGGCCAATATAGCCGCTCAATGAGCCGCAACGCCGGCGCCGAATGCTGTGGGGCCAATTGGTGCCTTCCTCCACACTTCGCTCCCTTGTTCTTGAGCTGTCGGTCCTCTTTTGCCCAGTAGAGAGTGATGCCAGAAGGCGTGCACTCGAGCGCCCTCGTCGAATATCATGAGGTGCTCGCGATGCGGAACTCGACGAGGATGACATTTTTGGTCTTATTTTGAAATGGAAACTCTTAGATCTAGTTCACCGCTAGCCATTTCCTTCCACCTCTCAGACACTTGCGTTTCCTCCAACCGTTCTCTCGTCTCCGCACCCCGCCTGGCTTCACCAGCGGCCCGACCTATTTTCATCGCTTTTGATATTCGCAGCAACTAGATACGGATTCAAACAACAATATTATAACATACAAGGAGAAGATAGTAGGTGCGAATGGTATCTGGTACTAAATGGAATCAAATCTGAAGCATTTCATCGATACTCAATCCGACTTTTTCCTCTTCCTCGCTCATATCGATATCCCTCCTACATTTATACAGCTGTTGGAATGTTCTGAAGCTATGTAGGTAATCGTAATCTGCCGTGTTCAATCTGGTGCGCACCTTCCGCAATCCGCAAAGAAAGTCGCCCACGTGATGTATATTTCTTCTTTGAAAATACTGATCCTGATGCTCAACAAAAACCAAAAAAAGCGCGAAAAATTGATCAGAAAAATCTGTGCGTTGTTTGCGTGATGAACTCAGTTCAGTGCTTGTTGTAGCAAGTGGCCAACCTACCTTCATCTTTTTTACGTTGTAAGTATTAATCTAGCTGTGCACGACCAGCACCTCCACCTTCTATGCATGGAAAAATAAAAGAGTAAACCATCTATGTATGATAGTCGTGGGAACTTCAGGCTTGTTGTGGCACTCTCCGTATACGTGCAGCACAATCGTTTTTCGATGAACTCCTCCTGAAAGATGAGGCTGAGGCTCCTATACAAACAATCAACATAAAGAGGCTATACACTGCGAATCTTGACTAATCTAATCCGATTGCGCAGCTAAACGAGCCATACTTCATATTCACGTATAAATGTTTTCGATTCAACATCATCGCTTTATTCAAAAAAGAACTTGGTTCCGAATAAGAGATTTTAATTTTTTAAATGGTTCTTTTTCGCAACATTCAACACGATGGCGTAAATGTTTTCGATTCAACATCATCGCTTTATTCAAAAAAGGACTTCGTTCCGAATGAGAGATTTCTTAGCTTCTTTTTCGCCATGTTCAACATGATGGCGATTGTCTTCAAACTCCCCTGCGCCTCAACTTGCGAACGTACTTCCGATCGAGTTCGTTTCCAACATAGAAGAGAAGGCAGCCATGGATGGCGTCTCAGTGGATGTCGGTGTCCCAGACTCAACAAATCTGTAACAGTTATATTGCGCCTCGTGGTGTGAGTGTGTTTTGCCGTTCACTCCAGCTGTATGACCGTCTGCATTCGCTGCTGTCGTCTTTGAGAACTTGACAGCCCTTGTACGCTCGTCTAACCGAAGAGCGGAGTGCAGTGGAAACAGACCGACCATATCACCAAAGTCCATCTCTTGATCTTCACTCCCTCCCTCTACCCGCTCAGCGAAATTTAGATCATCCTCGAGCTCGGGAAACTCAATCTCGGACAAGGCGCGGAGAATGCATCGGCGGCGGTAAATGCGGAACTCGAGCTGATTCTTGGTCAGCATAGCAGCATAGGGGGACTGCCGTTTTGAGTGCTCAGCCTCCACTTCCGATAGGCTCTTGAGATGAGTGGTGTCCGGCTCCGCAGAACTCGGAAACGCTGATGTCGATGTGACATTTGTTGACGGAATGAGGTGGATACGCAGTGGTGGAGATGTTTGATGCGGCGATTGTGGAGCAGCTTTATAACTGCTACTTGCAGAACCAGAATCTTCTGCAGCAACGAGAACAGCAGCTCCCTGTGCACCAGCAGGAGATTCTCGCGGCGGAGGTACAAATGCAGCTTTAGTGCTTTTCTTGGTAGGGCTCGAAGAGTCACCTCCTCCATTTGAACTTGATGTGTCAGCCCCCCCACCAGATTGAGTTGAGGAACCTGCACGTGCACGCGAGTGTTGCCACCAGAGAGGAAATAGAGCGGCATTTCTCGGTGGCATCGGCGCACCCACAGCTGAGGAAGAGTCGCATTCTGCGGAGGCGAGGAGTTCCGGGATGTGCGGCAGAGGACCCCCACTCCCAACATTTTCTTTTTCGTGGTCGAAACCGGGCCCGCCGCTGCTGCTGGTTGTACCAATAATCATGGATTCTAAGTAGGACGTAAGCTTCATATCGGAGGCTTCAAAAGCGTTCCGGGCTTTCAGATCGCTATTGTGCCACAGCTTTCGCTCAGGGTCAATGGCGGTCTGGGAGAAGCACGGGGGAGGGTAGTCTAGCGATGTCGCGGCGCCGTCAGTTGCGGATGTTGACTTGTTGGTATTATCGCGGAACAAAGGCACCGTGGTAGTGGAGCTTGTCGAGGAGCCACCACTCTTACCCACAGTGGCTGCGCCGGAACTGGATGGAGGGTATTTCAAAACAGCACTTTGAGGCGGGGGTGCCATTGGAGCAGCCACCGGCGAGGCGGTAACGCCACTACTTTCGCCATTGCCGTCTACAACGGGTGCTTTAGGCATGGGTAGTGCTGTTGCTTTCGCTGCTTTTGGAGCAGGTGCGGCAGAAACAGGAGGACCAGCACCGCTGATTTTAGCAGTAGGGACATCACTAGACGGGGACGCGCACGACGCCGGGTCCTCGCCATTATCTAAACCTTGGGCGACAACGTCGAACGGAACCAACTCGTCGCAAAAATTTTGTGTCCGATGGTGTGCTTGAGACCAGTACGTTAAATCGAACATCGAGTAGTAGAATACGCCCAAGCCATATTCCTCCTGCTCCAGGAGGTCGTTATAAGCGGGTGGAGCAGACGACACTTGCACACCAGAAGCTCGTGATTTCGGTTGCGATGCATCGGCTTCGAGTTGTCCGCCAAAGTTTCCGGTTGAGACTGCCAAGTGCTGAGCACTGATCGGTGCTGGTAATTGAGGACTTGTTTGTTGCGTTGAATGCATGTGGAGCCTCCAGTTTTCATTCATGTTCAGATCATCAGCTGCTTCACTGGACGCTGCATAGGAACTTAGCCGCAGTTCTGCGGAGCCCAGTTTATGCGCTTTATGTTTATTACCTCCCTGAGCGTCGTCATAAATGTAGATGCTACTATTTCGAATGCGCAGACTCCCTCTCCTTTGACTGCCGGGATCTTTGTCTCCATCGTCACCTCCTAAAGTAGCAGAGGCTTCCTTCTCTTTGCTGCTGCTTCTTCTGTTTTTTCCTTCGTGAGTCCGCAGCTCTGTCATCATGGTCTCCTCTCTTACTTTCGCTTGTAGTGCCAGCTCCATCTTCGCAACGATCCGCTCAGTGTGCTGGAGACAATCTGCGAGATTCGACTGGTCGATGAAGAGTGCGGCGATCATCAGGGTGCGTGAAAGGTTAACGACCTCGTGCGGCGTCTTGGCTGGATTGAACAGCACTTCGCCAGCCTTGAGGGTGAAGTCTAGCCTCCGTGGCTGCGGCCTTGACGGCGGATGTGTAGCTAGTAAGGCATCCAATTTCGGTACTGGCGGAAAAGCATACACCGGCTCCTCATGCGTGGGCACAGGATGCAAGAGTGCAGCATCGTCCGGGTGAAAAACGGTCCACCTTTTCTCGCCTTCAACCAAATAGCACCAGAAATTCGTAGGCCACGGATCCAAATGCAGGTCCGTCTTGGTACCCGTGTTTCCTAAGAACAGAGACGGATGCACGTACGCACTCCCATGCAGCGTGGCATTGCGGGTGCGGTGCTTGAAGCAATGCAGGAAGTATTTCGGCACGCGAACGTGATCTTGGAAGAGCCATCTGTGGTTGTGATTGATGTAGTTCGAAAATGCAAAATGGAAGTCACTGATGTATCTTTCGTACGAGACCACTGCGCAATATCTCTGACATGTAATCAAGAATCACGTCGTCACTGCAAGAAATACAACAATCATAGCAAGGCCTGAGTACTACTTCAATTATTAGTCATTCTAAAAACCATAGCCAATCGTCCAGAGAGCAGAGCTAATACAAGTAGTCGAGCTCGAGCTCTTCATGATGATCATGATCAAAATCCAATCAACAGAATATTGTTATCACATGGGTCTAAAAGATCATTAGGATATCGTGATTGTCAACAACATGAACGTGAATAGTAACAAATTGTACGGAAATTGCGTCGCAATCGCACTGTCTTTGAGGTAAACGCCCTTGCCGAGTTTCTCCTGCTCGCAATGGTCGAATTCTGCCATGAATTCTTCGAATGTCGCGTCTTTTTCTGTTTCGTCGGCATTTCGCACCGTTAAAACCAGATTCTTTCGTACTTGCCGCTTCAGAAAATCGATTGAAAGTTCATCCTTGTTGTCGTGGTCTCCTTCTTCGTCAGCACGGTCGTTATCATGATCCTTTTTCTTGTTGAGAACCTGAGAGCCCAATCCCTCAATGATAATAGGATTCTTGGATTTCTGTATTTTCCGACGAAAGTCAGCAACGGAGAGGTCCCGAAAATGGTACCTCTCCAGCTTGTATGGCACGTGATGATGATGTTGCATTTTGATTGAAAATTCCCAGATTGGAGCAAGACACAAATAAAAAATAACAGAAACAGTGCCGCCTCGTCCTATCTTGTCTGCAGATGAACGCAAACTATTTCGTTGGGCCTGTTTTCTTCTCAATAGGGACCTATAATAAACTACTACTAGAAGGGAGGCTACGACTAAGAGCAATCACCTTTGATACTTACTCTAGTCGTTTTCGAATTCGAGGATATCGTCGTGGTCGCGTCAACCTACGAGATTCTAAAAAGTGCAACTGCTTCTAATACATAGTGGACGATAATGAAGTCATGGCATGGCATGGCCATGAAATCATTCTACTGCTCAATATCAAAAAATCAAATGTTGTAGTGTTTCTACAACTTAATCCACCTAGTACCACCTCCGTTATAATTGAATCAGATCATATCATCTTTGTATCTCAACATATTCACTGGATTCATTCAGGTTACTTACACTTAATAAAACACTAAGCTCGCAGTCGTGCATGCATTCAAATTCCTTTACGTGTTCCTATGTATCATCTTTAGCTATCTTTTTCTATTCCTTTTCGAGACAAACAAGGTCTATATTCCGTTCTATCACGAACACGACATGTACATATGCCCCTATCTGCAGTTTAGCCTTGTCGTGTTATGTTGTGCGGAGGTTCGAGGAGAGCCACAAAATAGATGCTCCTGGTGTTTGCTAGTAGATTGAATTTGTGAAGATACGCAGGAAAATAGCACGGAGATCCGGGTACCGCGTACGTCGACAACGGGCTGGACAGTCACAAACCTAAGGATAGAAAAACGCGACGTCTCGACATGATGATCAACCAACGCCCTCTAAGGCCTAGACACTCAACAGAAGTGCAGCAAGCTCGGTGAAACAGACCACATACATATTTTTGTTCAACCTGAAGATATCTCAGTCTCGTCACTATTACGAACATTGAGATTGTGAACGCTTGAGGAGCTGCTTGATAAAAATGAATCGTGATCGTCGTGCTGGAAAACATCTTCAAACTCGTTCTCTGACTCCAATACCTTCATGTCGATGACAGATTGATTGCACTTCTGCTACTCTCTCATATTCACAGAAAATTGAGTTTGTTTGTGTGAACTTGAATGACTGGCGATCAACACCACACACACGTACAAACAAGCGGAACTACAGACGAGGTTGTAATAACAATCTCGAGAGCCTTAGAATTCAAGGAACGATTTTCCTAACAAAAAACAAAAGATATTGCATCTTGAGAGAACTCAGATCTCAGAGCTCTCCTCCTTCCGCTTCTGCATTGCAAGAGGACATTTTTATATTTTGTTCATTTCCTAAGGGTGTGTTTGGAGAGGGAGAAGAAAACCACGACAGTTAATTAATGAGTTCAAGATCTTATAATTGAGACAAAAGTACTATGAAGGGTGGGGAGTTAAGTGTAGAAGTTATATATATCAGACGCAAGCGGTGCATTCAGAATTGTGTATCTCCATGAAGGACATAACAATAAGTATAAGCGGAAAATTTTGCTGTAATCCCATCGTATTGAATCATAGTGTTTGAATTGTTGTCCACATGTGAAAATGAAATTAAGAACCATAATTGATAGCAAGCGAACCTCGTAAAATAAACCGGCATACCCTAGTTCATCTGTGCCATGCCTTCCGTACACAAGAGGAGTTCGCGTCCACTAAGGAAAAATGAAGAAAATTAAATGGTTGACTGGGACGAGATGGGAGAGCAGGGGAACGTTCAGTGTGCTCGGATCGGTTGGCGAAATTATCCACCGCCCTGTTCGCTTTTTGCGGCTCCTGCAGCTGTCAGAAATGACAGGAGTTGGGAGTCTAGCTCCCCGTCTCGCTGCACGCTGTCAGGAGTAAATGCTTCACCAGACACGGGACACACATCGCCGTGCACTGCGGCCCATGCCTGTAGCGGCGCAAGCTCGTAGTAGTAGACTTGTCCCGTGCTCGGCGCGACAAATCGGACTGGTTGTGTCATAAGTTTCCCATCTATCATGCATCGGAACTGATCCGGTATTTCGGCTTCCTCAGGCAAGCGGGACAGTAAGGCAGCATTGCTCACGGCTACTGCTGTTGATCCTGGTGCTGCAGAGCTTTCCACCCGTGCTCCACTTGTTCCTGCGTCAATGCTCGGTGGAACATCAAGTGCAGATGCTGTAGCTGAACCGGCAATCGCTTGCTGCTGTTGATAGAACAGGGCTCCTTCCATCTGGGCACTCATTGCACCGGCTGCTTCGTTTAATGCTCCCACGCCACGCCTCTGTGCCGGACTCTCTACGGGTTCCGTGTTACTGTAATTTTGCAAGCCTTCTCCTGTGTTTGAAAAGAAGTCGCCTGCATTTAACGATAATCCAGCAGGTTGGTCTACTGCTCTGCCTTCGCCGCCTTCTCCTTGCGGCATGTGATCCATGTGTTCTCCCACGCGTTCTGCCCAGAACTCCGCGAGAAATGCCTTGTCATGATACACGTAGTACTTGCCCAACCAGCCCATAGCACAGCGCCAAAACTGTGGAGGGTCAGCTGATAAAGCGGCTTCCGGGGCTAGCCGTTCTTCGTAGAGACGCAAGTGGCGCTGCGCTGGTGTCGTCGTCTCTTCTGGTGCCTGTTCTTCCGCGGCGGGTCCGCCGTGCCGACGGCTCCGCTCGTGCCCCAACAGTTCGAGCGGTAGTTCTAGCATCACGATTTTGGCGTGTACAATTGGGTGCATGCTGCCACACGCGATCGTCTGTTGGTGATGCGGCGCGCGCGGCCAGGTCCGTCCAGACACGGAGAAGGCCGGGCCAGAAGCGGCGTAGCCAAGCCCTAGACCTCCAAGCAACAGGTCCGCGGCTTCGTCGCCAGCCCCCTGGCCGCCTGGCTCTTGGATGAGACTGCCAGTCATCACCGTTTCCGGATGCAGGAGTTTCAATGCGAGCAAAGCGTCCAGCGTTTCCGTGAAAACAGAGTCCCATGCGGAGATTTTTTCCGAACAATAGAGCTTTTCATGTGCGAAGTCTGCGATAGACCCGCCCTGCAAAATCAGATGTCGCTTTAGCCGCTCAAAAAACTTGCGGTGTTTGCTCGTAGCCCACACGACATAGCGCGGATCCGTCAAAATCCCTCCCATCTCGGAGATGCAACGGCAAAGGCATGAGAGCAGAACTCGAAACTCCTCAGTTCGTCGCGCAATCGTTAGAAGACGTACCGTATTTACTTTTTGTTCTTTACCTCCATTTTGTACTTAGGATTGGGATTAGGATGTGATCCGCCATCCGCAGGGTTTAGCTGCATTCTCAAGCGGATTGAGTAGTTAATGTTGTTATGCTGAAAACATTGCATCTTCATCACTCTTTATGCCGTACAGTGAGCATCGCCTTTGATGCTGCAGCGCCACTCCCAAGCTCTTCGAGGTTCATGAAGCCTAAAGAATTTGCACCCCCTCCGACCAATTCGTCGTCCGACTCTCCTACAAAAGCTTCTTCGAAAAGGGTCTCTGCGCAACGAAGCATCTTGTCAAGCATCTCTTCATCGACAAACGCCATTGCTAGGCGCCGCTTGAACTCAAACAGGTCATGCAGAGCGCCCGTCTCGTCAGCTGCGCGTGTCTTTGGTGTGTTAGAGAAGACACATCGAAACCCTTTGTGGTCTCGTTCACCTACCTCCTTCTCCATTTATCAATAAAGCTTCTTTACAACGACCAGAAGCAAATCAATAGGAGTAGGACAAATTCAAGCTTCACTTTCTGAAATTGAATCCCTAACTTTCAGAGCCACGGCATCTGCTGCTCTTAGGTTGTACTTAGCGATCCACAATTCCGAGAGTGGACGAGCTATGCAAGGTTCCAGTCTTACAACCATGCGCGCGATCGCAACTGGAAAACGACAGTCGTTATTGCACAATTCGAGAAAAATTTCGCCGTTGATCGCCGCCGTATCAAGACAGATGCAGAGCGTGCGCCACATCGCCTGACAAACCAAGCGGTTCACATTTTTGTTTAGAGCTTTTCAGACCATACATAATTGCAGAACTAGACCTCATGCTTCCAAATAATGTTTCAACAATCTTGTCGTTGTGCTTTTTGGAGTGAAGGGCCTTAAGCTATGCGGGGAGAAGAGGCAGACTTCTTTGAGGACGTAGTCGAAGCTTGCGGAGACGCACTCAAGCAAGAATTCTCCGACTGTGGCTGTCGGAGATGCCGCCAGCTCTTGCGAGACACCGACGCGCAGGAAATTTGTCGGGCTACTCGACAGAAAGTGGAGCGCTTCGAGTGCAGATTCCGTAGGAGACACGGCGCCTTCAAGCCCGAACACGAGGACGAACGCATTGAAAACATGAAGAAACGGCAGTGTAGGAAAGCTGCCTTCGTCGTCGAAGACGAAATCGATCCCAGACTGACCGTCCCGGTGAGCGTTGACCAGTAATGGCAAACAGCTTGTGGCGACGAACAGCACATCGCATGCGAAGAGGCGGCAAATGTTAGATGCTCTCAAGAACACAGTCAATCCTGTGGAACATCACGAAAATCGACAAATGCATCTTCATCTTGTAAAAATTTGCTGTCGTTGATGCCTCTTCGTGTTCGACAAGAAACGCGTGATCAGAGTCCATTTTTTCTTCGAGTTTCAGGATGGATGACAACAACTACGAGTGCTACACCAAGCGGAGGCCATAAGAGTGGTGGCTGTGTCATAATCGGACGATGGTGGAGGTGAGCTTGACGGAGCTCCCCCAGCAGTTCCTGTATGCGCGACAAGTGCTGGATCGATTGCTAAAGCACGCTCCAGTGCCTCCCGAATGTTTTGAGCATTCTTCAACCTTGCTCCCTTATCGAAGAGTTAGAACTCGAACAAGTATTAGATGCAGTATTCCTACTGCACAGTTGCAAGGGGAGTTCACTCTGTCGTCCTCCTTGACCTTTTTCAATTTCAACTACAGATGAAAGTGAAAGGCGCGAACGGGTAAGTAGTCATAGCATTGAAGAGGATGCATCTGCGTTGGCCTTAAGGCAGAAGGTCTCCAGAGGCGGCGACCGCGAGATCCGCTTCATCACCAAGAACACCATGCTCAAGCAGCACCGTTAGCAACGACCGCAATTCGATTTGCAACACCTCGACTATAGACATGATATTTTTTCTTTGTCGTGGAGAGGTTGTAGTTTAAACAGAACATTACATTAGTGGATGTGGAGATCGAAGTTATCACAAAGTAAGATAGGCATTTAGGTATTCATGATATTGTGATCAGGACATTTTGTGTAATGAAGCGCGGTTTGTAATTAGAAGACTTAGACATATCCAAAGGCATTCTGATGGACATTAATTTTGTCTACCCACGGATAAGTAGCAAACGCGAACCCGCACGGCGCAGATGAGAATTTCATATGGCATCATCTTCTTTCATTTGCTTGAATGTCCACGCTCGTTACCGGGATGGAGCAAGTGACCATTAAGTTGGCTCTGGGTTGTTGCTGTAAGTGTAAACGCAGCAGGGCTTGACTAGTATGACACAACTTTGGTCTACGCTCCACCGACTCCCCATCCTCAAAACTCTTGCTTTTTGTCACACTCACCTCCATACTAGCTTTCGTCAGGTTAAGTCTTGCTATTCCTACTTAGCACATCGTCATCGACAGAAACGTCGTGACTGCATCTTTCTACTCGGCACGAAGCAACACGCTCTTGATTGTCCTTGTTGTCCTGCCAGAAGCCCCTCGAAGTTGTAATTATCAAGTACGGCACTACCCTAGGCGGAAATAACAAGTGGTCGCCGGCGACTGGTATCACGAAAGTGGTTAAGCAATGTCAGAAACGATGATACTGAAGCAAGACTCTTTGTTTCTGACATTCTTTCTTTGTGATTGACAGACAACACATGTTGAAACTTCTTCTTCCCCAATGAATGTGTTGAGCTTGTTGTGGTTGTATGTAGTCGCTTATAATAATTGAGTTGTGCGCGCTTTTCTGAAAGTTGTTATGATTATGTCCTTCATCTTAAATTTCAACACGATATCGATACATAGCCATCACACGAATTTTTGTGATCATGTTCAACATCTGCATGGGAACGTCTATGATATTGATATGTAATCATTATCATGCAACTGATCATAATACTATGACATGTTGATGTACGTAAGTAATGCATGAAGATAGCGAGTTTTGTATTTGGCGGTGCTGTGAGGGCTTTATTTCACTTGTTCATCTTCATCTTCTCTTATCATGAGTAAGCAAGGTCGATCGGACATACTTGACGAAAGTGATTCTCAAAAATACAAAACAAGCGGTCAGAAGCAGTGGCGTGATCTTGCCTAAATTTTCTCCACGCCGTACATAAACATCTTCACCTCTACCAGTTCGGCCTTGGCGATCCACGGGCGTAGGAGTCCGTAAAGTGCATAAGAAAGCCAACGCCCTCACCGTTAGTGCCGTCCTCATGTCGGATGGATTTGACAAAAATTTAAGAACTACAGTAGAAAGTAGCTTTTTTGCTTTAGTTCGATCGACCACTTGTACTTGCGTCGAATACAACGTTTACGTTACTTTTTGCAATGGTAAAGTAACAATCTCATCGAATGATCAAGAAGGCCGCTGTTGGAAAATCCCAATTAGATGTCAAGTTGTTTAGGAGGTCTAGGGCGTCATCGAGCGGTCTGATTTCATCTCTGCTCGAGAATGATGAGTCTCCTTCGAGATTACAGGCACCAGGCATGCTGCGTTCTACGAGTACGATGGACTATTTGTATTTATCATGATGATATTCATTTTCATGATATATACCACCAGAAAAAGCCATCGCTCTGTCAAGAGCGGATCACTCTTTTCGTCGCGTCAGAAGCTTATCGGGTTTTCGTAATTTTATTCTCTTTTTGGGCGAATGGCGTTGGTAGTTCACAACTTGGATCAATAACCTCGAATCATTTACTTTTTTTGACTATGAAGGTCATGGTGATATCGCGGGCGCAATGAATTACACGTAGGACCGTCATCAGCGTCGTCTGCAGCCACATATTAGACCATCAATCATCATCTAACCTAGTAAGTTCTTGCTCCACGCGCAACCGCAAGAACTTTGAACTATACTTCAACAAAGTTGTACTTGTGCGTAACGGTAAGCCTGAGGAAATCATGATAGACGGAGGGGATCTTTCTACCGTGCCCGTGACGTTCATGAAGAAAAAAGTTGTACTTACGTAGTAAATTGTGGTGGAGCAGACCACACAACGAGAAAAAACAAAGACCAGAGGAAGATAGGAAAAAGAAAAGGCTACCTATCAAGTATATTCTTCTCTGCTGAAACTAACTAAGCGCCGGCGCTATCGTCGTCCTGTCAGCCCCATAGGTCTCACCATCGAAGTCGTACGTAATAAATAGAAACTACTGAAATCACAACAACATGAACACCTACAACAAAAGTCAAGAACTAGAAATGCAAGGAGGAGTAGATGGTGATGAGGTACACCACAGGAGTGGAAGTCCGCTTCTCCATATCAAGCATGAACCAGTACAACATGACAACCAACTACAACTAGTAGAAGAACAAGTCTAATTCTTTATACGAGAGTAGGAGGTAACGAACTCAGCTCCTTTGACCACGAAAACGTCACCCTGTTCGGTACCGCTTTGCATGCCCCGACGATCCGAGTTTCCAGGCGTGTTCGCGCCATTTGCAGCATCAGTCTTAGAAAGATCTTTATCCTCGTAGTGGTCATCGTCATTCTTATGTGTAATACCTACAGTAGTAGAAGTATGCCTCTGCCTCAAATATTTCTTCTTGCTCCTGGAGGTCGTGCCATCATGAAGATACTCGGATTCCGTGTTGATTCAACTTGGTTCCTGCACTTACATAACTAGTTGATAATTGTGGCTTAGTACGTTGCACAAAAAACGTAATACCATTGCTAAGAAGTTTGATCCTTAACAACATTGTGAGACGGCGGTGGGGCCCAGACAACGTAGTCTCCATCTTCCAGAAGCTGCATGCTGCCCCAGCTCGAAATAAGGTAACTGTTTCCAAGAAGCAGCCTACCATTTTCATCTTCATCTTCGTCATCGCTATCGGGTTCATCATGATCCGACGAAGTGCTGGTATTCCTTGTCCTCGCGGTCCTAGAGGTTGAAGATGGCGACGAGGATGATGCTGAGGGTGCTCTTGCGTTGGAAAGGCGTGGACGTTGAGAACTTGCTGATGGCATTTTCAGCGCGTACAGATGCCTCACGGTATCACACGTAACGCGGATTGCGTATATCCGACGGCGTGGCAAAAATTGCTGCAGGTGTCCTTCTTTTCCTTCCCCCGAAGCTGTGCCGGCAGCATCGTCAGATTCTGAACGTCGCGGAGCGACTTCGAAACGAGCCATGAACTCCCCAGCCTGGGTGGTGAAATACTGGTGGCTGTAACAAGTCTCAGAGAAGTTGTGATCAGATTCATTCGTAGTAAGTTCGTCCTCGAGTTCTTTTTCCTCAGAAAGTAATTACAATTACGTTTACTTAGGTAGAGTCATACTCTTGTAGTTTCTCACAGGTTGTTTTTACGAAGGAAAAACAGTACCGAGACGATTCTAGGACCTGGGATCACATTGCTTTGAGAAATCAGCAGTGGAGCGGGGCCCATACTAGGCTCCCAGATGAAATCCGAAAGTGATGGTCTAGCCAAGGCTCCGTCTTTGTCGCGCACAGACCGGCTCCGGAAGTCCTCCACGTCAGCCCCTTTTGTTAACAGCTTGGCAGAAAAAATCCCACCTGTTTTGCCTAAACCTTCCCGATTGAGAACAAATCGGCCAACGACACACTGCAACTTTTCTGCGTCAGCCTCGAACGAGCGCACTGCGGCGTATGTACGAGCGCTGCGGAAGCTCCCACGCAATGGGTACAAACGAGATGATGGTGGAGAATGATGCAACGGCTCTTGCTTAACGAAGCCACTGCATGATGTTGATGATGACGTCGTCGTCGTAGTGGAAAACGGTGGAGATGGAGCAGCCGCGCTCTCCAATCTGTTGTTTTCCTTTTCATTAATCACTTCCTCATCGCTATCTTCGGCCATAGCGACGTCGGACGCAACCCGATCCGGCGCAGAGATCCTCGTCCCATGTGTGACATCATGATCATCACCAGCTTCAGCTTCATAATCAGCCCACTCAGAAGACAAATCCTGCTGCATGCATGCACATGCAGGCGATGCAACCGCAAAGAGATTGACAAGCCGCCGTTGCTCGTGATGAACAATCGCGGAAACGAGTTCGTAGTCACCAGGATTTGCTTGCTGATTCTGTCGTCGACGATTTGCGTTAAACGCATCAACTATTCCGATCACAAAGGCAGAAGGAGTCTTGTATTCCCCTCCTCCACGTCGTGAAGGTGACGAGCCACCACCTCCAGTACATTTACCGGATGATGAAGAGGAACTCGTAGTTGCACACTCTGTTGGCATAATTGGGCCAGAACACGAGTCTTGGTGAAGCGCAGCTCCGGCGGCTGCAGCACCGAGCGCTAGCAGAGGCAACACTGGGGGCTTTGGAGACAAGCAAGCTGAATAGGAATGTGCCTTTTCATTCGTTTTCGATGAAGATTCACCTCCATGATCATTCTTCTCACTATCGTCCTCGTGGTCGTCCATTTCTACATCGTCCGAGCTCAAAGGCAAAGGCTCAGCTGCTTCTAGGAGTGCTTCACGACCTTTAGCATAGCCTGGATCACGACTATCTTCACAACCATTCTTGTTGCGCGGCCGATCCTTCCCAAAAAAGCGAGCAGCAAGTGTTCTGCTGTCAGCAGTGTTCTCAGAAGCCATCCCTGAGAAGTCTCGTCTCATTTGGTCATCCATCCATTCGGAAGCCCACTTTCCATCATCTTCTTCCTCTCCCAATGTCGCTGTTGGAGATGAGAAGTCTGAGAAGCAAGATGATGATCCGCGACGGCTGGTTGATGGTTTAGCGGTGCTGGTACAACTCCCACTATCTCCTGGTGTGCCGGGAGAAGCCGAAGCAGACGGCGCGTCGGTGTCGCGGCAAGAAGAATGGTACGACGACTTGCCCAGCATCGTTCCTAACCCGCGCTGCGCTATTGGCAAGCTGATGGAGCTCATCATCTTCTTCTTGAGATTGTTGCCGCTGGTGCTTGAAGGTAGCGGAAGCACGATACTACCACGTCTTTTGCGCAGCAGAAGGTGCAGGACGCTAGCAAGTGTTGCTGCTCTCTCCAAACGACGAGTGGTACTTGACTGGAAGGATGTCTTCTTGGTCTTAATGCTGACACCTCCTCGTGCATCACGACCTTCCCGGTTGACGTCGTCTTCCCGGAGACAGGAATCTTCAGCAGTACAACTGTGGTCTTCGACATAGTCTACTTGTCCTACTCCAGCATCCTCTTCAACTTGGAGATAGCTTCTAGTACTCTTGCATGATAGCGGAGATGTCGGGGTCGGGAACGTTGACGAACATGAAGGCAGGAAAGAATTTGTCCATGATCTTCGGCGCGTTGAGTCTAAGGAGAACGGGCGAGCGGTCGCGCTAGGACTACCATCTAGGAGTTGTTCGCCAAGAACTGGCGGAGATTGAAATGTGAACGTTGTAGTTACCGGAAATCTGCGAGCTTGTGTTGACGCCTTTTGTTGTGCGAGACCCAATGAGCCAATGCGACCTCCTGCTGGACGTAGTACCGATGCTCTAGCATCCACGCATTCAAAGACGGAACAGCTACAAATGAGAATCAGCAAGCACGGAGCGATGCTACCAGCACCGATGTTACAACAGTCGGATTTTCGGACTTCGCTTCTATGGACCCACGAGTTAGCCCAAAGCATCTTCATTTCTTTTTATCTGGACGACGACGAGGAGTAGGAGATGAAGTTGTAGATGTCTATTTTATTGTCTTCTTGCTCTTCTTGGTAGTTACTATGTATAATTACTCTTATGACCACGATGTTGTTCGTAATATCTTAAACCCAAGGAAAGCTATCTCTCAGGTTCGCGTTCGCCTTGATTTGCGACTTCTACTACCCGACAAGGTTCATCTTCTCCCTTCTACCACCACCTCTAGTTACATTACGGTTACAACTACCAAAGGTAATGACTATCGAACTTCCTAGTTCTCCCTGAGGTAGAGCAGAGATCAGTAGTTTCAGGCTCGGACTTCTTTGTTCTTCAAGGAAAGTGTCATGGCTCCACTATTCTGAGTTGTTGAACACACGACACAGTCTGAAAAGAAGTGTCATTACCATGCTGACTATACCGCCGCAACCTCCACCAGCACAACGTCTCGTCCTAGACAGTGATGCAACTGCCTGATCAACAAAGATCACCAGCGACAAGTGTTTACGCCTACGAACCTGGAAATGGGGAAAAGCCTACCTGATGTACTGGCTCGGGAGTAAAAGGTGTTAGCCTTGCATTCAGATATCTCATGTGGGGGAGGAGGAGCTTGATCTTCGTTCAGGATAAAGGTTCAAACACAAACATCAGGTACTATAATGGAGAAAATAATGTCCATGTCAGGTGGAGTTCAAGTCAAAGGTAAGAACAACTTCTATGAGTGCTAGTTCTACTGTTGATGTACAGCAGTGCGAAACCTCATTCTGTCATGGTCATGGAATAAGCTAAATGGATCAACATTGATTCTTGGAATAAAATCGACTGAAAATTGTTGCTGGTGGCAGATGCAAACTACGAATCACTGTTGTGCTGATTGGTGAAAATGGAAATGTCTTTTAATATAATATAAATATGTCTACCTCAAGAACCTGACTACTCAAACATAGGCATTCCACATGAACATGATGATTATGCATAACCGTAGTTACTAGAGTCGTGTTCATTAATGCGATTATACTGGTTCGTTTTATGTCTCATTTCCCATGATGCCGAAGTTGTCGTGGTACACGAGGAACGCCAATAGTTCGTCGACACACGTATCTGGGTGTCAGTGTGTAGTTTCTGTACTACTTATGTTGCTTTTGAATTTTGTTACTTATATATATTTAATTTCTATGTCTACTGTGTCTGTGATGTCAATGATGTCTGTGATTTTTATCAATCAGGTGAAAAACTAGAACTAGGTCTATTAAGTACAAGTAGACTACTGGTGCAAAAACGATATCAAGGGGTAGTTGTACTAGAAGGATAATATACGACACGCAAAGAAATGCAATCTTCTTATTCGATAAAATGAAATGCGCGAGTAACTAAGTACATAAAATAAGCGAGATGCTGAACAATGACGAGTAGCCCTGTCAAAGCTGCCTCCCTTATTTCAGTCAGTACCTCGGTTATTTTCAGTTTTCGAGTAAGCTTTAATATTTCTTTGGAATGTGCTTCTGCTTGTGCTAGCACCAAAGCTAGCGAGACGTATGGTGAGTACTATGGCAGTATTAACGACATTTTTTTATTGATTTCTTGGAATCGGAATGTTCTTGAAGACAGGATGAAAAGCAATAATTTATTTCGCCTTCTAAAATTAGAATAAAAGCCATGATCAAGTCATGTAAACGTCTACGTCAGGTATGCACCCGAATCTATAAATAAAAATATGTTGATGCACAATGAATTATTTAAATACATGCGTCAGGTCAGCGTCAGAATCAGTCACCTTTTTTATTTTCATTTTATTAAGACATACTCCTGCTTGTTTCTTGAACGGACATTTCGTGGCCCTTCAGTCATCAAAAATGGCCGCGTCGTCGTCGTCTTCATCGCTCCCTTCGTCTTCATCGCTCTCTTCGTCGTCATCGCTCCAGGCTTCGTCGTCGTCGGAACTGCCTAGGCCAGTTGGTGGCGCTGCGTCCACAAAACTGCTGTCCTCTGCGGTTGCGCCGCTAGCTTTGTGTGCGTTGCCCGCCATAGCTGCACTGAGAGACTTTTTCTTTGGAGGCGGCTTTGGTACCGTGCCGGACTTGCGGTTTTTGCCGCTGACCAACTCGGAGTTCAGGCGCGCTTTGGCCATCATCTTCTTCAACCCGAACAGGAATTCGTCACGCTCAATTTCGTCGCCGTCGCTGTCGATAAAACGGTAGATCAGATGCAAATTTTGTCGGTCATAGTTGTATTTCACGATGACGGCGTTGAACTCGTCCATCGAAATGGATCCACCGCCATCCGCATCGATCACATTCCACACGTCGGTCAAATTCGCTAGGGTAAAGCGTGCGTTGTTCAAAAACGCATTCGCCGGAGGCAAAAGTTCCTTTGGCACGGACCCCATGAAGCTATCCACATTCGTCTCCAGCGTTGAGGAGCCACCTCCACCAGCAGCCTTCACCCCCGCTCCCGTTGGAGACACAGCTTCGGAAGTGGAGGTGGAGGTCGCACTTCCCTGCTTTTGAAACTTCATTTTGCTTGCCGCAGACGGAGTGTTGTCCGCACTCTGGAGACTTAGGGAGGCTGCGCCTACTGGCGAGAAATCGGAATCTCCTGGACCAATAGCAATCGCACTTGAGGAATTTGCTCCTCCACCAGTGTTGACCGAATTTAGCGCTTGCGATGCAGAAGTAGACCCGCCGGGAGAACTAGTTGCCACTTTATTGTCGTTACTGGTGGTGGCGGCCTTCGGGGGATGGCCGACGATCATGGTTCGCAACAAATCTCGAGTCACTAGTTCATGCGTGGTGCGCATCGAGTCTTCCTCCCTGTTGTTATACGCCGCAGTGGAAGTCGTCACACCGGGCGCGCCAGCCATAGCACTGTAATTATTGATGGTGGTGCGAACAGGCGTGCGCGGCCGTAACGACGTCGCCGCTGACCCCGGTCGAGATGCGTTTGGAGATTGGGGCCGCTGGGACTCTAAGAACCCTCTTCGCTGCGCGAGGCGTTCCACTGAGCATTTGAACTGCAGGAAGAAGAGGAATTCTTCTAGACCCAAAAAGAGTTCGTTCCACAAGTCATTCAGCTGTTTGAACTCCATCCACGAAACGGTGCCTTCTCCCCCGCGGTCTAGAAAGCGAAACAGGCTCTGAAATTTGTCCAGCCACTTCTTCCCGCCTGGGCGGGAGCTCATTTTCTCCAAAGCGCCCTGCAAGGTGAGCTGCGACATATGCATCTTGTCCAGAAACCGAAAGGCAGAACCCAAATCCGAAAATTGATGCAGAAAAAACTGCGCCATGTCGAGAACGTTGCTTGGAACTTCTTCCAACGAAATCCACCACTCAATTTCGTTCTGAAAAGATCATGGATCGCATTGAGTGTCGAGGACGAGCGTAAGCAGTTAGTTGTAGTTGTCATTCACATTCAAAAGTTCAATGAAAAGTAAGTCATTGGAAAAAAAGGATGACCCTTGCAGCCACAGTGTAGTTCTCGTTGCATGCAACTGCATACTCGACGAAACGGGAGAGCATGACAAAAAAAAATGTGCGTGAGCAGTCAAAATCAAAATCGATGACAACTAGAACAAGCCCAGGAAACGACGAGGTGCATACAAGTAAGTACTACTAGACGAAGACGATAGTGATAGACAAATACAGATTTTTTTAGTACGATATCTTCGTCGGTGTCTTCGCGCACGTTCCACATGCCGTAGCTCTTGGCCATTCGTAGCCTTTCCGGCACTACAGCGAACTCCGGAGCGCAGCAGTAGGTAACAGAAATGAGGCCCACATTTGGCGGATCTGACTCCCAGGATCGCGGAATACCGTAGGTTAACTCATCTGGTTGTCCGTCGTAGTCTGCGTCCCACTGCACATCTACAATATTTTCCCCATCCTCGTTTTTCTCGTACGTAAAGAGCGCGATGAGGCAGATGCGATCCTCGTTGTACCGCAGATCGAGCTTGAAGGTGTAGTTTTCAGGCTGGACCCAAGGCAGCATCGCGAACGAGCCCAAGCGGTTAAGGACTTCGCCTTCCCAGACGTGGCGCCAAATCGCGGCACGCACAATCTTCTCGTTCAAATACCAGTCCACTGTGCGGTTCACCAGTAAGACGAGAACTTCCACCATCACCTCTTGATCGGGCATGAAAATGTTCAACAGTCTTCGCGTTTGTCGTGCTGTGAGGTACAAAGCAGGCGCCACTGCCGCCACCGCGTCTTTCAGTTCGTGCAATGTGCAGTTGCTGGTGATCATGCTCCGCAGAATCGCGCCAACCTCATGGTCGCTCAAGGCTTGTGCGCCTTGTTTGGGCCGGATCATCGACGCGTAGTCAAAATCCAAGATGGCGCCGCGAGTCGGCAATTGGAACGTTGCGTCCATCTCGAAGTGGAAGCCATTCAGCCGCTCATTCCGGAAGCAGCTGCGGTTTCCGTGCTGCGTCGGGACGACTGTCTTCGTCACTGTCTTGCCCATCCAGGAGGACTCGATGTTCGTGAGTGGCCGAACTGTGTTCTCCCACTGATCAAGGATTAGGAGCTGCTGCGCGACCGTGAAATCCGAGTGGTAGGAAAGGTCAAGGCTGTATCGGCCTGTCGGATTCTCGGGGTAGAACTGGAGAACGCGCCTGGCATAAAACGAAATCTTCAACAGATCTCCAGGCGACGGCGCCTGCATCAAAAACAGCACCTTTTGCGCGCGCTTTCCGCCAGCCAACGACGCGAAGCAGTTGAAGAGAATCTTGTGCCGCAAAGCGGGGGCGAAGTGAATGAGTCCCGCGATCATCAAATACGAGTAGTGGAAGTCATCAGAAAGCGCGTGGATCATCGTGTTCAAATCAGGCAACGAACTGCGGATACTGCGGAACAAGCGCACAACCTGAAGCTCGGTTTCTCGCGAAAACTGCGCGCGCGTATGCTGACGGGAGTACAGCAGTAGTTTTGCAGAAGGATCCATCTCTTCCGTGGTCGCGGCTCGCCCGCGAGCTCGCGCAGCGGCGGACGGTCCGCGGTCGTCCGCCTCCGTCATCCCCGCGTGCATTGTCGTCTTGCGATTAAAAGCTTGGCTCCTCAATTTGGACGGAGACTTCGCCTTTGGCGGTTGTTTCTTCACGCTCGCGTTCACCGCAGATTCGGGCAAGGACGGCGTGGATGCCCGCATCGCCGCGTCGTAGTCCAGACCGATGCGAAAGCTGAACTTTGCAATGGAGTTCCACTTGGTGTACTCTGGCGCGCTCTCGTCGCCGTTCCCGGGAATGTTGATCGAGTAACGACCCAGGCCGCCGTCGCGCGAAACGGTTTCTGCCATCCACTGCTCTGAGAGACCCTCAAAGGTGCTCATTGGGAAGCGGTCTCGCACATACAGCAATAGCAAAAAAATGGCTCGCTCCCCCACTCGTCGTAGGTCCAGATGATACAAACGGCTGGCCGCGTTCTGCCGGAAGCTGTAGAGTCGATAGTGCACACTGTGTGTGGCCACGCTGGTCTTCGGATCGATCAAGTAGCGCGCTGGTAGCGAGAGCGGACCGCGCGGAGGTTCTTCCTCGCGGAATTTGGCAACAAAGGGCTCGCGTTCACGGATGTCGCTGGGTTTCACCATGTCGTGGCCCCCCGCATCGCTGATAGAGCTTACCTCCAGTTCTTGCAACGTTATACAGCTGGCCCAGAAGCGGAGGAGCGCACGGCAGCCGTCAGCACCTAGAGGATTTCGACCCAGGAACAAATTTACGAGGTTCGTGCCCGACGCGTACAAAGAGGACTCCATCACAATCGCAGATTGGCTATTCAAGGAGTTCTCCCGTGCGGTGAGGTACCTTAGCGTCTTGTATTCGCCAAGACCTTCGAGAAAGATGTTCATCTGGTTGTCGTCTGGATCCACACAACTGGGTGTGCAATTGGACACGTCTAAGGACTTCAAGCTCGTGTTCGCCGCGTCGCTGAGACGATGACGCAGCGTGATCCACACTTTCAGCAGAAACTTGTTCCCACTGATGTCTAGGTGCTCCAAATCTGGATTCTCCAGTACGAGCAGCAAGAGTTCTTCTCCCATAGACATTGGAAAATTCATGTCGGCCAGGCCTACCTGCCTGAGATCTTTCTTCCCGATGAATTTGCAGAGCTCGCGCAGCGTGTCTGGCGCAAACAGCGTGTTGCTCACGTTCAGCTCCTTCAGGTAGTCTAGGTAGGTCAGCGAGTTGTTGACAACCTTGAGGCCCACGTCGCTAATCCCGCGGCAGCCACTAAGATTGAGGACGCGGAGCGACTGCTGCGCCTGACAGCCGTCTTGCGTCAGCTTCTGGAAGAAGTACACGGCGCTGGTGTCCGAAATGAGAACGTTGTTGGCGAGGTCCAAGAGTTGCACTGAGCACTTCGTCAGCAGGACAGACAATCCGAGCAAGTCCTCGTCGTTCAGTCCCTCGTTGCTCAGGTCAAACTGCGTTCCCTTGGTTTCGTCCCGGAAGCAGAACTTGAGGCGCGGGACAAGCCCTGTCAATTCACAGAATTCCGCGTACGCAGCACGAGCATGCAGTACGCGGTCGATATTGCGGCGTCGCTCCTGCTCCAGCGGGTCCATCATCACGCTGTCTGCAGGCGAGTCAGGTGATGAAGAGCCGCCGCCTGCGGTTGTCGCTGACGTGCTGCGACTGGTCATGGTTTGATCGCGCGTCCCATCACTCGCGAAAACGCTCGCCTGGCTTGCGAATGGGTTTGCGCGAGTTGTGATGCTCTCCAGCTTGTGGCTCAGATACAATCGATGGCGCTGCTTGCGAGCGGTATGCAGCCAGCAATCCTGGGGGATGCCCTTCTCGGCGTTCAGAAACAGCGGCTTCTCTTCTCCACGTGCTTTGAGGTGTGCCATGATCTGCGAGATGTCTGCGGTTTTGTTTTCGATGGAATTCGCGTCTAGATGAAGCTGAATACCGTCGGGGTGCCCGACTGTTTTCACAGGGCCCGGAGACCGGTTGTTGAAGTGCTGTCCGCCGGTGGGCGTAGAGGCACCCGAAGTCCGCCTATGATCCTGGTCACAGTAGAGGCGCACCTTTGGTCCTTTCGGCGAGCGTCCTGACGTACTGCCAAATGCGGAGGAAGTGCCCTCTTGTTGCGCGCTGCCGGTTCCAACGGGCTGTGACACGCTATCTGGGCGTTTGCCGTAATTGCCGAGCACACCAATCACGCTACCCGGAGTGCCGGCACGCATTGAGTCGTAGTCGCGATTCGCACTGGGAGCGAACAGCTCCTCGAAGCCGCGCGATTTGAGAAGCCCGCGTTCGGCGTCGGCCAATGCCTCGGCCGCCGCAGGTGTGATGTACCGCTTCGCATCGTCGCCTGACAAATTTTCCAGCACGGGCGCTGAGAGCCCGCCCGACGCTGTACGTGCATCTGGCCGCGTACCCCCGCCCGCAGCAACTTCTGGAGCGTCAGAATGAGCAGAAGCGTTTTTCGAGACCATGCCGAGTGCATCGAATTCCGGAAACGACGTCTCTCCCATCTCCCCGATCGGCGCCATGGTCGGAAGCGAGCTCCCTGTTGTTTTTGGCCGTGATGGTATGCTCGAAGCACTCGCACTACTAGAGGACGGTTGCTGGGCTGTTCCGGGTCTCATGGCTGGCATCTGATCGCCGCTGGACGCGGATGACGGCAATTTCCCAAACGCCGGCGAGTCTGATATTCCGGAGAGCGCGGCTGAACCGGGTGGACCTCCAAACGGCCCTGACATTCCAGCCGTCGTCAATTCACCCCGGGAACTGCCTGGCTCGGCCGAGGTCAGAAGATTTGTCGTTGCACGCGTGCTACCCGTCGCTGATGTTGTCGGTCGCATACCGTTGATTCCGTCCACTGGGTTCCAGGCCTGATTTCGCTTGTCGAATGGATTCTTCCGGTCCCAGTTTAGCCGCTCCGCTTGATTGTCGACTACCCGGCGCATCAGCGGCAAGAGGCTCACACTGCTGTGCTGAATATGGCTGCGCTCAGCGAGCGACTTCATCGGCGAACCACCGGGCGCAGCAGCACACTTGTCATTCTGCATCTCGAGGTACGCTTCGACGCGCGTTTTCTTATCGATTTTGTAAGTTTCGATTCCGCTAATGGCAATCTTCTCTTTGTACTTGCGGCTTTCCGTTGCTATCTCGTCTGGCGTAACTGGGACGCGAGCGCGAAAAGCGTCGTCGTAGCGGGATGTGCCGAGAAGAAGATCCATGGCGGAACGCCGCCTCGGCCCCCCAGATCCCGCCGCCCCAGAAACACCTGGTTTCGCGCCATCCTTCGACCACGGAGAACTGAAAAACAGATTGGCGGCTCCGATAGCGGCCTGGCCCTTCTTTGACTTCTTGGTGGCCAGTTCGTATTGCATTTTCTCCAGCTGTTGATCTAGCGCTTCGCCCGTCAGCTTCGTGCGGCTGTGCAAAAAACGCGACATATTTCGGTTACTCGGATGCACGAAGCCTCCGGGCATACGCCGAAAGACTTCTTCACCGAGATCCTGCAAAATTTCCTCCCCAGGATCAGGTGGAATCCAGGTTTCCGGATTGCACGCAAGGAGAGCGACCCTGCGGCCTTGCACCGAGTTCACGACATCTCCTGCAAGGGCCTCCAGGAGCACTTTTGGATGTGCACGACTTTTTTTCGGGAGATACGACTTACTGCGAGATGCAGAAGATGAAGTAGGCTGTGGAGAGCTGCCGGCACCTCCAGCACTTGCACCTCGTTGCTGGTTTCGTCTTCGTGCTGTCCCTATTGGCGAGTCATCAAAGCGGATGCTTCGGCTGCTAGGCGATGCCGTATTGACTCGCAGGTTACTTTTTTTGGGTCCGGTGCCGACACCTCCAGAGCCCGATGATGCCGCTGCGGGTGTGGCATTTCTAGAGAG